AGATGCTGGTCACCATAGCAACGCAGGCAACAGTCTCATCCAGTTAGTAGCTAACAAAACTGCAAAGAGAGATGTTTAAGACGAACATTGATCATTTGGAGACGAATGGACTTATTTGCATTTATAATCACTCCAGCTGGTTTCCTGATATGTTTAATCTGCATTAAGAAAGAGCTTGTTGTTCGAATTTTCCTGTTCCACCTTAAATGGTCAGGCACCATTTAAGGTGGAACAGGAAAATTTGAACAAGAAGCTGGTGAATGAGAAGCGACTTCAGCCTCGTGAAAAGTAAAACATTGAGAGACATTTTACAAGAAACTGTTCAACTTTTGTGGAAAGTTTCCTGCTGGAGATGCGAGAAAAGCAGCTATAGCTGAGCTAAAGCTTAAAGCAGAGCAAAGTAAGACTAATTTTTTATTTATATTAGATTTTTTTATCCTATACTAGCACATACAGAGACAGATTTACAGCCAAGATGATAAAATGGACATAAAATGTTGTGGCTCATAAGGTGGTTTGATTTTTGTTGACAGAACAAAATGGCTCTTCTTAACATTTGGGTTGCCGATCTCTGAACCCTTTAAACCAGGCAAGTCAAACTGGGTACCTTCTGGGCCAAAGTGCTGTGGAGGTTCAGCGTCTAACGCTCTGAACTAAGACGATGAAGGCCTTACTAAGTAGCTGATGAGCTGAATCAGGTGTGTTTAAAGAGGCAGTGTGCTGAAGTCTGCAGTGCTTTGGCCCATGTGGACTGGAGCCTGACACATATGCTTTGAACGCTACCACACCTGTACCAAACTGTTCTGAGAGCGCCGAACACATGACCTTCATTTCCACAACAAAAACCTGTTTCCATCCCCACTTTGTGCGTTTTGCTTCTATCAATAAAGCAACTTCATCCAAGCAAAACTTCTTTGCAATATTTAGGCTTGTTTTTTGGATTTCTGCCTTTCCTATCCATGGTTTTTATGCGCATTATTAAAATTCGCATAAAAGAGACAGACATAAAATCTGCAAGTGTGTTTTTAAAAGTAAACTGAGTCGTAACAAAATAATTTAAGTCAAATCAAACTGAATAGTGGCAAAATCTGAGATGACTCACTGTATCGTTTTGTAAAGAATCACTGTGAGGTCAGTCCACTCCTACTGCGGTTTAATGGTCATTTAGCCTCATGAGTTTGGTTAAGTGTCTAATGGCCCATTAACGTCGTATCTGTTTTCCTGATTGGGTTAGCGGCGCCTAATCGTCTTCACCCTCAACTCTCTCTTTCTCTTTTTGGGCTTCTCCTCTCTCTTACTCTCTCTCATTCTCTCTGTCTCTCTCTCTCTGGTTCTTTCTCTCTCTAGATTAAATCAAATACGCTTTATTGTCGGCGGAATGTCACCAAAGCTGCACAATATATGTTAATGTGTTCTCGTTAAAATGTAAACGAGTTATTAGAAGTCAAAAGAGGAAAAACGATGTAATGTTTGAAGTGTCCGTATGAAAACACATGAAAGAAGCATAATTAACAAGAGAATCTCTCTCTCTCTCTCCCTCCCTCTCTCTCTCTCGCCCTCTCTCTGTCCATCAACGCTCAGCATCTTACAGCTCTGTCTTTTTCTCTCTGTCTGCCTGTCTTAGTCCGACTGTCTCTCTATTTTCTTCTCTCCTTTCATTCTCTCTTTCTTCTGTCTCTCCTTCTCTCTCTTTCCTCTTGTCTCTCTGTCTCTTCTGTCTTTCTTTCTCACAGATTTTTTTCCGTCCTTCTCTTCTCTTCTCTTCACTCTTGTTCTTTCTGTTTCCTTCTTCTCTCTCCCTCCTCTATCTCTCTTTCTCCTTGTCCTCTCTCCGTTCCCATGAACCATCATAATCTTGACCTCTGAACTGTCTTCCTGGGCCCTCTCTCTCTCTCTCCCGCCCCTGTGTTGCACAATCACAGATGATATGAGGAGAGAACTCAGATCTCTCTCTCTCTCTCTCTCTCTCTCTCCCTCTTCCCCCAGCCCCCCCTCTCTCTCCATTTCCTGCTCTGCTGTCCTGCAGAGCTTTATTCCTCCAGGAAAATTGCACAAGTGTTTATTCTTTTGTTGCAACTGAATGACTGAATGGTCAAACTAATTACAGAGATAACAAGACTAATACAGTATATATGTATATATACATATGCATTTCACTGCTGCTGGAACAAAACCTTGTATCTCCATTTTTGTCTTTTTTCAGTTTGTGACATAATTTTAAAATACCTGTTGCTCTTTACATTGTGTGTAAATTTCATGATGAATGGACCAAAAGAAACGGCCCAAAATGACTGTATGTTTTTGCCTTCTCCTGTAAAGTTACTATTTTGGAGATACAAGGTTTTGTTCCAAGAGCAGCGATATCCAGTGTGTTTTTTCCAACTCAACCAAACTATATGGCTAAAAAGTCAGTTTTCTCTCATTTACTTTATCATATTAAAGTCACGGAACTACAGGGTTTTAACAAAACAATAGAAAACCCATTTGATTGTGAATAAAACGGGGATCCACTGCTGTAAGATCTTCATCTAAGCTATAACTGTAGACCAATCAGATCAAGTTCTGTGGGTTTTTCTTCATCATAATAAACTTAGTCCTTAGACAAGAGTGGGTTGATATACACTCTGACAAATAAAGACATCAGTGAAGCAATAGAAGAACCACTTTTGACCCCCTAAAGAGCCTTTCAAAGACGGTTCTTTAAAGAAGAGGACCTTTTTCACACAGTGTGAAGGTTCATTATGAGTAGAACTGAATGTCAATCCCAAGAACCATTTGGGAACCTTTATTTTTAAGAGTGCAGATGCTGGATGTACCAAGACGTTCCACTGCAGTTCTACACTGAACTCCCATCGTACATTTTTAGAGTATTTATTTCCTGTATTTATGGTTTCTGTTAATGACTTTATTTGTTTTATTTAATCTGCAGATCATTTCACAAGAAGCTTTGCCTCATTGCAGCATGACGTTTGGTTTCATTTTCCATGTTTTGTTATTTCAGCCGTGATGGTGTTTTGTGTTTCAGTTAACTAGTTCAGCCTGTAGTGTCACATTAAAACAGACGCTGGGCTGCTGCCAACTTTCGAATCTTGAAATCGGGAAGAAGAGCACCTTACCGGTTATAATGTCTTATGTGTAAAGTGCGTTTGCTGAACCGTTTAACTGTTTCCAGTTAAAATCATGATCACACCGATATCTTTAAAAAGCTAAAATTAGCTGCAATTCATCAATGTGTAATATTTCAACATACATTTGTTTACACTACGCTTGTTGAATATATACAGTATGCGGTTGGGAACTCTGCTGCTGCTAGCATTTTACTGTACATTCAGATGTCTACAGTAGATTACTGTATTCTGTAACTGCAGTATTATTCTATTAATCAGATTTACAGTAGAGCTCCTGTAAAAGTCTGAGATTTGTTTGGAACATTTACTTTTATTTTGAAAAGGTTCTTCACAGTTGCATATCTCATTTAGACGAATGATTCTTTTAAGGAACCAGACTCCTTGTGTATTTGTGTATATATTTAGAGTCGGTGTACATATATATTTCTTTTATATATATATATATATATATTATATATATATATATATATATATATATATAGTATTTTAATTCTAGCGCTATGCAGCTAAGATATGCAGATTTAAAGGCAGATTTATACGTGATTTGATTTAGAGAACCCAAAGTGGTTCTTCTATGGAATCGCTCCAAAGAACGCTTTATGTCCCAGAGTAAAACATAGAGTAAAATATTAAAAATGTTTGTATGACACTTTGTATGAGTGTTATACAAACATCGAGCAAAGCTTGAATTAAAAATATAAGATATAAATACATTAAAACACGGCTTAAAATGCTAATCAGCCATATCTGAGAACTGTGTGGGCGTGGCTAACAAGCAGCTTGATTGACAGCTCTCTGTTCAACAGTCCTCTGATACAGAACTAAAATCATTATCCAGATTTTATGTGACGATAACTGGACGAAAAAAGTCACAGATGAACAGATGTGCAGAAGGGCGGACGTTCTGTGTGGGCAGAGCCTGAGACATCAGCATTTTGATTGGTAAGGGGAACGCTTACGGAAGCATTACTCAAGATTAGTACTGCCCAGTTTACATCAAGAGGAGAGAAATATGGTGAAATACAGCGGTCATTTATTGGTCAGTGAGCTCTGTTCCTATTGGCTGCCCCGTATTGTGACTGATTCTAAAAGCAGTGCAGGCTGGAACTCTCCTTAGAACTTCAGCATGAGTGGGCGGGGCTTAACTGCTGCAGTCAGTATGCATATGAGGATGGATGTATGTAAATTTGTTTGGATTTTGTGACATCACAAAAAAGTTTCCAAATATAGACTGTATGGACACATTTGAGACTTTATGCACCATGTCAAACCCTTTTATTTAAAAAAGAAAGTGAGGAACATTCAGAAAATTAAAAAAAAGGTTCTTTAAGGGTTCTTTAGTAAAGACTGGTTCTATATAGGACCATGAACACCATTAAAAAAACATTTGCATGCCTAAAGTGGTGAAATGGTTCTTCAGATTGATGGAGAATGTGTTGTACATGGCTCTATACAGAACATTTTTGAAAAGGGTTCTATCTAGAAGAACACTTTTCGGTGCTACATAGAACACTTTTCGAAAAGGTTCTATACAGAACCATATACAACACATTCTCCATCAATCTGAAGAACCATTTCACCATGCAGAGATCCATTTAAGCATGTGGAAGGGGGTTTGGACCCCCTTTTCAAACCCCCTCATAGTTTTGGACCACCCCTCCCCCCTCCCCCCCTCTCTCCTCCCCCTGTCCTCGTTTTGACAGTCACACGCAACCCGTCACACGAGGAAATATATAGCAGCTCATGAATGCATGCGACAGAAATAGAGTATGGATCAGGCATAACATGCCACAGCAGCCCAACGCAGAGCCAACTGCCACATACATACTGGAGAAAATGTGTCAAACATGACGAAAAGAAGGAAAAACTTACCTCTAACTTCTCCTCCGTCAGTTTACTGGCAGTTCTTGGCTTCCTTTCTGGAAAGTAACGTCTCCCTCCGTTCCTCCTGCTCTTCTTTTTCTCCAGACCTCCAACTCCACCACTCCCTCTCTCTCCTCCACTGCTTCTTTCACTCACTGTCAGTGTTTGGTGAGGTGGCTTGCTCTCTCCCTCCTCCCTCCCTCCCTCCCTGTCTCCCTGTCTCCCCTCCCTCCTTCACTCCCTCCCTCCCTCTCTCCCCTCCCTCCTTCCCTCCTTCCCTCTCTCTGTCTCTGAAAAACAGCTGTGCATGCAGTTAGCTTCTCTTTCGAGTTTTCCATTCCACCTTAAACAGTGCAGCAGTTATATTCTGGTGTCTGTAGGCACCACAATGTGACTGCTGAAGCATTTAAGGTGGAACAGAAAATCGGAACAGGAAGCCGGCGAACAGGACACCTTCAGCCTCGTATTATATGTATAATATCGTTTTCTTTTATAATCGCTGTTTTCTGAAGAAAACCTCGTATCTCCAAAATGGTAACTTTACAGAAAAAGGAAAAAAACTGCTTTACTTTCGATGTAAGTCAATGGAACCAGACTTTTTTCTAGTCAATTTGGGCCGTTTCGTTTGGCCCATTCTTCATGAAATCTACACACAATGTAAAGGGCAACAGGTATTTTCAAATTATGCCAAAAACTAAAAAACGTTAAAAACATAAATACGAGGTTTTCTTCCGACAACAGCGATATATTGTAGCGTGCTCGAGAAATACTTTTGCATGTTAGTTCCAGGTTATTTGTTCTTCAGCATATATTCACAGGGTTAATCTGATAAGGACTCTTATTGTGAAGGCGGGGCTAATTTTCCTTGATGGGAGTGTGTAGAACAGGAACAACTGAAAGTCAATCAACAGCCGACGGCTGAGAGAATTAGGCCAGAAACATAAACACAAGTACACGAACGCAAACGACAGTGCTTGACCAATGCACTGCAAACGCTCAGCCCTTCCGTACAAACTCACTATGCATTCAGTACTGAAGGGGGCGACAGAGGACAAATCAGAGAGGATAGACGATCATATATTTATGATTATGTAAGCCGTCTTTGCACGCGACTCAACTACTCGTCTGCTATGGCAGTTAAAGAAGCACACTAGCAGTACACAACCGATTGGACAGGCTTGGCTGTCATTATAGCGCCCCCTGCTGTAACGCTCAGAAGGCAGCTCACACTTGTGTTGCATTATGAAATGCATTGTAACACATTTTTGTACTCAGCTACATGCGAAATCCCGCGAATAGTGGCTTAAAGTGCACTCGCATCCTTTCGTAAAAAAAGCATGTTTCGGGCGCGGTTGTTGGTCACAGCCACACTGCCTATGTACAGCGTAGCTGTAACCAACAATGTCTTGTGTGAAAGCTAAGTCTCTTTGAATAGTAGAGATGCTCCCAGCTCTCACATTAGCAAAATCCAAAACCTTCTCTTTGTTTACATTTTTTTTCAGCTGGCCAGGCTAAACCCTGCTAGAAAAACTCAGCATAGACCAGCACGGCTGTTCACTAGCAAAACCAGCATATGTTTTGTTTTGGTTGCTGGTATTGCTGGTCAACCAGCATGAGTGCACTGAGTGACCAGCTAAACCAGCACCAGGCCAGTAAAAACCAGCATAGACCAGCATGGAATGCATGCTGTATTTTCAGCAGGGAATGAAGTGAATATTTGGCCACATTAGCAGCTCTGAGTTTGTGTTCAGTCAGTGCACTTCATGCGGCCTACATGCAGCCTAATTAGGGCACTTCAAAGGTTGCATTAACTGTACTTGCATTTTTAGTGCTGGTAATCTAGTAGCTATCAGTTCTAGTAGCGCATTCTAGAAATAACACTGACTAATGTACAACTCCCAGTTTGTCACTAGCTAGAGCATTTTAGCTAAAACAATGCCAGTCCAAATTTACCTATACGCTAATATTATAGTGTAATGTAAGCCATTCTGTATACTAGTGCACTAATCTGTACACTAGCTAGTGTAAATGTACCTGTCCGCCAGCCACAGTACAGTAAAACTGTTAAATACTGGCTCAGGTTAAAGGGTTTAAGTATCTTGATTTCTTCTAGTGCTGTAAAGTACATTTAAGAGAATTTATAATATTTTTACTTCCTATAATAATAATGTAGTGCTGTTGTATAATAGTCTATAACACTTAAGTAGTATCTTGTATCCTGTAACTGATTGTCTGCATTTTTTATAAGACGCTTACCATACTGCCTGTTTGGAAACAAAATGTGTTAAAATAATGCGCAATATATGTGATGTGTTACAATATACGTGGTAAGTATATTTAACAATAACAATTTTAATATTTAAATATATGCTAATATATGCACATATGTGTCAATTTTTAATATTTACATACACGTCAAAAATATATTACACACTTGACGCATATTTTGAAAAACATATTCTCTTCACGCATGGGTGAAGAAATTCCCGTAGTATGGAAAAAGCATTTTTAAATGAAACAGTGTCTAACTGGACATTATTTGTAGGACAGGCGACTTAATAAAATGCCAAGACTTAATAAAACAGTAATACAAGTAGTGAAGTAATACATTTAGGCCCAATCCCATTTCACCCCTCGCCCCTACCACTTAGCCCTTAGCCCTCTGTTTTGCGTTTTCACGTCTAGGGGTAGGGTGTCCCGATTTTTGTTGAGATAGAGGGGGAGGATGAAGTGTTGGGTCTACATGGCCCTCCAAACGGAGGCTTTTCAGAGACTCCAAACAGAGTGATATGAGAAAATAAGAAAAACCGGCAAGACGGCTGAACAAGAGACCAAAGAAACCCACAAATGTGAGAATTTTCTCTGTTAAAAATTACAATAACCATTGTATTACCTTAGTTTAACGTCGTCTCAGTGTATTATGGTCGTTTGCTTCATAACAAGCATAAAAAATCGCTAATAGCATGCTAATGTTTCGGTAGCTAGCTAGCTAACTTTCTCGTTCCACCTTAAATAGTCCAGCAGTTCTGACGCCTGAAGCGCCAGAATGTAACTGCTGCACCATTTAAGGCGGAACGGGAAAATTCGAACAAGAAGCTGGTGAATATCTGACTTCAGCTTCACATCACCGAAGAATTACGGGTGGGTGGTAATAAATAATTGCCCCCCTCTTTGAAAGCATATGTTGTCTTAAATGTAACTAAAGCCCAGCAGTGAGGAGCTGAACTTTACCCTCCTCTGCTGTCACTGCAGACTGGCAGGGTCGCCTACAGAGCCCCGCTGGTAGCTGTTGAAGCAATGTTTTTTTTTTGTTTTGTTTTTTTTAAATTTGAGGGTCCCATTTCGTAGGGCAAGATTTCGACCACTACTAGGGTGACACTCGAAAACAAGGGGTAGGGGTAACATTAGAAGTGGGATTGGGCCATAGTCTAAAAAACGAAGAAGTCTTGACGCGACCTAACGGTGACTCTTATTTTGTCACATGCAGAAGCGCTTTGAAAAGCGGGCGGATACCTTAAGAGTCCTCAGGACCACGGACTATAAAAGCCCCCATTTTGGCGGCTGCTCGGTCTTTCTTCACTGTCTTTGAGAGGAGCTGAGCGCTTCAGCTGGTAAGAAAATAATGCTTAAAAATCTCTATGCCAATTATGTTAAAAGAAGGGCGGTCTTTATCTAACGTTAAAAGACTGGCGTGTTTTAACGAAGCTAATGTTTGCTTCTTATTCGAATTATCCCGTTCCACCTTAAATGGTGCAGTAGTTACCTTCAGGTCCTTAACACAAGGTTTAACACTTTGAGAATTATATATTCTAAAATAAGCCAAAGTTCTTTATTTGTTGTCGGGATATTTATTTAGCTAACGTTTTGTTTCCCCCATTCAGTGCCGTTCATTGTTTTCTCTAAAAGAAACTCCTTTAGCAACCATTAGGAACCGGAAGTACTAGAGTGGGTTATCTCCGCTGTTAAAAGTATCTGTGGCGCCACCGCATGGAAGCGGAGTCTGTTGCTTTGAGCCGCTTTTGTAAAAGTTCCAGCGTCTTAAACGGGTTTAAAAAGCGGAATCTGGTCAATTTCTGCTCATTAGCTCCGCTGCAGACCTGTTTAATCGTGTAAACGAGCTGAAGTGAGTCTCTGATGATGTCTTGCACTGGGCTCAGAATATCTGTGGCGACACACGTGCTGCTCTGCTACTGACATGGCGGAGTCTGAAGAGGCTTCACTTATTTAAAGGGGAACTTCACCACTTTTCAATTTCGACATAATTAATGAGATGTATGCAGGATGTTGAGGAAAAATAGTTTAGCATTTTTTCAGATTTATCACTATTTTATCAACTTTACATATAAAATCTCAGGCACGTGTCGGTTCACTGATGGTTTTTGATAGTAAATAAAATGTCTGTTGTAGACATAGTGACCCCTGGTTCCTATCAACACCACTGTAAAGAAATCTTGTTTATTGCATTGATGGAATTATGCAAAAATGTTAAATTAAAGGAATTCCCCTGTAACATTTATCTATCCATCCCCTGTTAAAAGGGAAGTCCCCCAATATTTCAAATCCCATTTACCTGCAGTCTGAACAGTCTCAGACTTTAGTGGCTGCAAATGAATGTTGAACTTTGAGAAGCACTAATCAGTTTATTTGATTCTCTTTCAGTGGACTTCATAGATGCTTCAGCTGGAGATGAGAAGGTATGTGTGTTCAGTGTCTCATTAGTCAGTATTAAGTTCTCCGGTGATGTCTTGCACTGGGCTCTGATTGGCTGTGGTGACAAACGTGCGGCTCCACTCCTGACATGGTGGAGTCTGAGGAGAACAAATTACTTTCTTCTCATGTTTTCTAAAATCTGCCATTGTGACTTATTCCTGTTTGTGTTTGTTTCAGGTAACGAGTCCCTCATCTATCTGCTCCCGTAAGTTAATTTATGTAGCTTAGTTATGTACAGTTAGTACTCTGTGATCTTAATGTGACCCTATGATTAATTGCATATAATCTAGAGATCAATATGAAGAAATATAATACTTGAAATTTTCAAACTGTCATTTTTTTTCAGACATCTGATCTGAACAGTCTACATTTAAAATGCTGTCAAACTCTTAATTCAGTGATTTTTGTTTGGCGTACTGTTACACTACCCCAATAGAGTCTGGCTGCAGACATGCACTCTCTGCCACAATGGCAGAAGCAGGTCAACAGCACTAACTTGCGGCTGCTTCTGCTTAGCAATATCACTTAATCCATTTTTCCTCTAACACAGCTATAAAATTACATTTAATGTACCTCCCTGTTAAAGTTTAATCTGTTAAAGGTTGGTTCCTGGTGGTTTTCAGTAGTTGGTAATAGTATTGTTTTCCTGATGGGTTGAGATCACAGTGTAAAGGGTTCAAATCATTTAATCAGGTGTTTTGGGACTGATTCCAGATACATTTGTTCGTTTTTAACAGCAACCATTAATTTAATTCATGTTAGGAAGCAAAACCCTCATTTTATTCCTAACGATTTTAATCGTCTTCAGCGTGGCATTCATGAGTTTCAGCCGTAGCCTGTTTTTTTGTTGTGGTTTTATTTGGAAAGTTTCCATATTTAATTACCTTGTCAGTATGAAAACGTTTATGTTCAGCGTATCTCTTGTAGCCCAGCAGTACGTGGCTGTTTCTTCATAAAGCCGACTAAACACTGTCGTGACAGAGCGGCGCTGGCGTTGCATGTCAGGCTGAGTGCATGTCTGCAGCCAGACCCTTTTCCATCTTTAAAGGGGATTCAGGAGGACCTGATTAGGTACGGGAAGGCATGGTGGTCTGTTGTGCCATCTACTGTTCATTCATCAGACTGTTTAAGTAACAAGTAATAATAGCAGTGTTCTGCAGGTCACTGTATAAAAATGCATATTTAGTGAAGTAAACCAGACGCCTACCTGCTTGAATCATGTCCTGTTACCTTGAAAATGAAAATGCAATAAAGTTACTTTTCCATAAGACCAAATCTGCCTGCTTGTGTTTCTTGGATTTGTCAGATCTGTCTAACGCATGATGTCGATATAATGCACTATACTGGTTTGGTTATTTTGACGTAGCTTGATTTGCTACATTTGTGGGTCATCCATTTAACCCCCATGTGTCAAACAGAAGGCCTGTGGGCCAGATGAGAGACAATCCTATCTGGCCTGCAAAAGTATTTATTTTCTGTTAATATTAGCCTCTTTCACAATGTGCTACACTACAGTCCCCAGCATGCACTGCAGCATAATGTGCTCTGACTCTTCTACCCCAACAGCAGTCTATGGGACAGCGGTTACACCTCAGTTCTACATAATTCTACACCAGTCATATCACCAAACACACTGGCTGCGTTTCAGCTGCAGTTCAACCAATATAAACAAACGTCAGCTCAGAAACTGTCTTAACGAACTTGGAGCAAAGATGCAAAGCCAGGTGTCCAGATCAATCAGATAGGTAGGTTTAAAAGCCTGAGCTCCTGGGGAAATTTAAAGTTGGAAAATTTCAAGCATTCATGTAACATTTCAAGGTCTAAAACAAGAGCCTGTATTTTACTGTTGATAATTTGGTCTGTTTTGTGCAATGGTCAGTATGGGTTATAGCAAAATGTTGAAAAAAAAAAAGGTGAAATAAAAACATTGGTGTTCTCTGGTCCAGAGATTTGTTAAGATTTTTTTTAATATTGCGCTTTTAGTTTGAGTTTGACACCCCTGATTTAACCCCTTAACAATCCAGGCTTATTGCATTCAGCGGCTTATTATTCAGGAGCTACAGGGACTTCAATGCAAACTATTGGGTCTGTTCTCAGGATAAAGAAGTCTGTAATAATGCTTTGGACCTGATTTGGCTTGTTAAGTGGTTAAGAATGATTTCTGCAGCGTTTTGTGCACAGCAGCTGTGCTTTACACGTGAGCATTTGATGACCAGTGAACCAGTATAATGCACTGTTGCTTTAAATGATGTCTCGTTACATTAACATGCATGTTTTTTGCTTTCTCCTTTAAAGCTGCCACATTAGATATACAGGCCCAATCCCATTTCACCCCTCGCCCCTACAACTTAGCCCTACCCCTCCGTTTTGCATGATCACGTTTAGGGGTAGGGTGCCCTGATTCTTGTTGAGATAGAGGGGTAGGGCGAAGTGTTGGGGCTACATGACCCTCCAAAGGTTTTTCAGACACACTCCAAAAAGTGTGTTATAGAAAAAAGAACCAGCAAGATGGCTGAAGAAGACACCAAAGAAACAAAAATGTGAGAATTATCTCCATTAAAATTACAGTAACCACTGTGTTATCTTAGTTTAATATCGTTCCAGTGTATTATGGTCGTTTTCTTCATAACAAGCATAAAAAATGGCTAGTATTATGCTGATGTCTCAGTAGTAGCCAGCAGCTAAATTTCCCGTTCCACCTTGAATAGTCCAGCAGTTACATTCTACAGGCATTATTTAAGGTGGAACAGGAAAATTCGAACAAGAATCTGGTGAATATCTGACTTCAGCTTCATATCACTGAAGAATTAGGGGTGGGCGATATTAAATAATTGCCCCCCTCTTTGAAGGCATATGATGCCCTAAATGTAACTAAAGCCCAGTAGTGAGTAGCTGAACTTTACCCTCCTCTGCTGTCACTGCAGACTGGCAGGGTCGCCTACCGAGCAGCGCTGGTAGCTGTTAATGAAGTAATGCTCTTTTTATTTGAGGGTCCCATTTCAGAGGGAAGATTTCAACCACCACCCGTTGTAACTTGGTTCCAAGGGGCAAGATAACACTCGAAAACAAGGGGTAGGGGTAAAAATGGGACTGGGCCGTAGTCTGTATTCTGAGGGGCCCCATGTAGCTTCCTTGTTGCCTTGTATTTCCCATCTTGTGCTTGCAGTGCATGTGTTGTGGATAAAACTGTAGATTAAGAGCTACTTTGCCATATGTGAAGGTTCCTCCTGCAATTTGGGTGTTTACTCAGAGGCAGCCTGTGCCCAAACAGAGGGGTAGTGACTCAGACGAAGAACAATGGCGTGATGACATCGAAATCACAGCCTCATTTGTGGTTTGCTGTAATCCTGCTTTGAGTAGCTGAAATCGTAGGTCAGACCTGCCACTGGAAGCTTTGTTTACTAAACAGTGCACTTTGTAGATCCACAGCACAGTTCGTAGACAATACAGCCACTCAGCTGTTCTAATTGGTGCATTTCACCAGAAGGCCCATTCGTAGTGTAGAGCTGGCCTCATTGCCAAGAAGGCCTAGCTAGAGAAATGAGGCTAATGAGCTGCCAATCTAGTGGCGTAGTTGAAGAAAATGGCTCAAAATAAAAGTAAGAAGACTGTTTATTTGTGCTTTGGAAGGCAGTGGTTGAGTCGTCTTTTTAGAGCAGGAAAATAAAGCAGTCTTGTCTTAATCTGAGATTAAAATTAAGAATACAGACTTAGTGTTGAGCTTTTGACTTGAACTGTCAGAACATTAATAGTAATGGATGTTAATGGGTGATGGCAGATTAGTAGGGGGATCATATCTTTTTCAAACATTTCCTTAACTTTCCCCCTCAAATTGAGCCCTGTTGGGTCGTTCTCCATTTGGAGTGGGAATTCAGGTGGATACGTTTTTAAAAACATCAATTTCTTTCATCCCAAAACTAAATAATCATAATACATCCATTAACATCTCCTGTGATCATATATGCAGAAAGGAGAGCTTAATTCAAACATATTTTACAGTCACTGGTGTTGTTTGAATACGGTGTCACACCAGTGACGGTGACTCCAGCAACATTCTGGTTAAAACTGAGGATTTTGTAAATTGGCTGACTCAATCATAAAAATGGTTTAATAGCATTATTTTGATACAATTTTAATTACCCAGCCATTAAAGCATGTAACACCAGTGACACATAGATGTTCTGTGCTGCATGATAAACAAAATTATTAAATTAATAAAATATAGTGAGAAAGTGTGAATTGCCTTCTCACGCCTTGAGACGCTTCCTCTCTGATGAGCCTCGACCCAAAGAAGCAGTTTAATAGAGCTGAAAATACTGTGTTAAAATGTAAAATAAGAGTCCTGATGAGTCACCAGTGACCAAAATCTCTGACAAATGAAGTTTTAAATAATATGCATATTTTAGAAACAGAGTATAACATAAAATATAAAATCTGCTTTATACAAATTCCTAAGGTAAACCTTTAAAAAATATTGTTTTATATTAAAAATGCTTCCTCAAAAATGAGTGAAAATTGGTTTTGTGATGAGCTGTTTTCGATTCAGAGCGACTATGAAACAGGATAAAAAAGAAAAATCAGAGAATTTAAGGGAAGTGTTATTTAATCTTATATGAACTGTGTAAATGTACATACTGACTTTTGAAGCTGTGTCTATCTTTTTGAGCATTTCTTAAGCCCTGCAACCTTTGTAACAAGGTTTCCCCTCCAGAGAATGACCCTGTTAGCAGGTCAGAGGAGTGTGAACATCTTAATGTAATTGGTCAGTAGTTTTCATGCCCTACACCCTACACTCTTTTGCAAATGTCTTTCTGATGTGCTGAATCTCAGGATGTTATAAACTTGGTCACTTAACGCTTTTGTTTGTTTGTGTGAAAAGCTTTGAATTGCCGTTGTGTATGAAAGGTGCTGTACAGATAAACTTGCCTTGCCTTACAGCAGAGGTCCTCAGCTGACCAGCAGTTTGGTGAGTTTCCTGCTCAAATGCACCAACTGAACCTGGTAACTAACTATTGATCTGTTTCTGTTGTGTTTAAGCAGGGAAATCGCCAAACTGTCAATAAATGAAAATGATCCCACACCTTTAAAATAAGATATAATAAACAGATTGGTTTTGTTTTCTCCTTTAAAGCTGCAATGCTGCAGACGTAGCCTGTATTCTGAAGAACCTGCAAAACTATCGAAGGTGGAGTCAAAAATCCTCAGGCACAGTCCTGGTTCGTCTTTAAAGATGATTTCTTACGCGTGATAAATTTGAAGATGTGCACAAAACTGACTACCTAGCAGTTATTTTGAGTTGTACTTGGGGACCCACTGCCCTGTGGCTTCAACTATTCCCTACACCAGGGGTGTCAAACTCAACCACTAAAGGGCCACATTAAAAAATCTCTACAAATCTGTGGACCAGCTGTGTCTTTATTTTTTTTTTTACTTATTTTGCCATGACCCCAGCTGACCATTGTTTATTCAAAATATGCCAAAACTACAACAGCAAAAAACAGGCACTAAATACTTGAATGATTAAAAAATAATTTTAAATAAAAACAAATTCCTTTATATAAGATAATAGACTACATTAGCTGCAGAAAACTGTTAAACCTCTTTAAATGTCCCCAAAGTACAGTAGTTTTTTTAAAGCTGCCCATTCGCTTGAACTAGACACCTGGCATCTTTTTGTTTGTTTGTTTTTGTGGTGCTGTCTCATAGATCGTTGTTGGGGAGTTGTTGGGAGCACACTGTGTTGCAGTGCATGCTGGGATCTGTAGTGCAGCTCATGGTGAAACAGTCTAATATTAATAGAAAATTAAACTAATTTTGCGGGCGGAATAGGATTGTGCCTCGGGCCTGACTTGGCCCGCGGGCCTTGTGTTTGACACATGGGCCCTACACCATCACGCCTGTTGCAGCTCAAGAGCAGCTTGATAAGTATGTGATGAACTGGATAAGGTGTTGGGGCAGGGGATGCTGAAACTGTGCGGGGCAGTGGGTACACAGGACTGGAGCTGACCACTGTCCTGTAATTCTTCCATGGGGAACAGTTTGGCAAGGTGTGGTGGATCTGACCTATCCAGGGGGGTAGATCTCCAGGACTGGGATTGGTCTCCTCTGACGTAGGTAATGATTGTTTCTAGATATCTTCGCTTTTCACTATCTGTGTCCGTCTGCTTCACCACCAGCCAGAGGACAAAACAAAACACACTGACAGTATACTAGCCATGAAGCCAGTAGGTATTGGATCGAGTACCTGTTGAGGTCCTGAAGGGCTACAGCAGTGC